TTTTAACCTTAAATCTTAAAGCTCGAAGGACTGATGGTTCAATTTTTCCCTCTAATGCAACCTCACGTTTATTTTAGCTTTCACGTAGCCTTGCTTGCCGGATGGTATTGTTATCAGGCTATGAGTTTCTAGCTCTCATTGGTGGGACTTGAACCCTTAATGCTCGTTTTTCAGCCAATACTCACTTGAATGCAGCTAAACAAGCTGCTATCTGACGAGTCATCTCGTTATTTATTCTCCTTCAGACTCTTCACTTGGCGCCACCAGCCGGGCTCGCAATCTCGGCGCTTCTGTCCATCGGCGCCGTCGGCCGCCGTCTCAGCTGGGCAGCCTTGCCTGTATCGTCGCAGAGTCTGGCGAACCCGGCAAAGGCGTTTCGGCCTATTCGCGAGGGGATACCACAGACGCAGTCTGTGAGCATGACGTAACCATGTGCATTTGTCCCGTCTGCGGTTTCTCGGCCACGAGTCCACGCGCCCAGGACGAGCACATGGAGCTGGTGCATGGAGAGACGAGCAATCTGGCGCTGGCACTCAACGCCAACACTACCACCACCACCACCAGTACCGGCTTCACCACCACCACCGCCGCCGCCAGCACCTCCTGCTCGGCCGGACTCGGAGTCGGGGTTGGGGTTCCAGCCGTCTCCGGACTCGATGTAACGGTCACGCATCTCGCCGGTCTCGCGTCGAGGCAATGTCCGGGCCACGGGTACTCCCCGGGCCAGTTCATCTCCTCGGAGAAGAGCGAGGCCGCCCCACCCTGCCCGCCCCGAGGCGAGCTCAACAGCACCAGCAGCAGCAGCAGCAGCAGAAGCAGCAGCAGCAGCAGCGGCAACAGCATCGGGCCGGGCAAGGCTGGTGGGGCTCAGGGATTTGAGGGTTGTCTGATGGACGAACCGGTCGGCGGGGCTCCTGGCCTCTTGCCGCCATCGACGTCGACGCCGAGGCGTCGAACGGCGACAGTCAATCTCAGCCCTGGCGACGGCCAGGCGCCGCTTTCACGACTGCCCTTCGAGACGGGCGCCAGTCGATCGGCCACTGCCTCGAGATCGTGTCTTGGCGCCGCTCCCCACAGGACGGACGCAAGATCGAGTCCCTACGAGACGACTGGCCCGGCTGCTGAGGCCGGCGGGGCTCGGCAACTCGCTTCTCCTCGACATCGTGTCTTTGTCTTCGACACGGCTTCGCCTCTTTCACTGCAGCCCTTGATGCTGGGCAACACGAGCAATGGCAACGGCGCCAATCACCCCGCCAGACCCGACGGTGCCTCGCCGCGGCGATTGCTGACGCATGTTGGTCGCGCATCGCTGCCGTGCGCCCGAAGCCTGGACGTTTGCCAGGCCGGATCCCGTTCGGCCACGGCCTGGACGAGCAGCGAGAATGTCTATGGCGAGTTTGAGCAGAACTCC